CCCCCCCNCCCCCCCCCCCCCTGTTATGTCATCTGCCGCTGATTCTTCATCGTCCGTGTCGGAGCTTAGGTCAATGAACAATAAGGGTTTGGCTGAAGCAACTCCTCCCTTGCTTGATTCGCCCCCTTTGCCTGACTATTCCCTTCTGCTTTCGCCGTACCTTATTTGTAGATTCGCGAACCATGTCGATATACTAGAAAACGACAGATTTTTAAACTGGCCTGTGTACCAAATCGCCTTTCCTCGGTCCCCTTCTCGTCTGGATCATAATCTGCTGTCGCCTGCACAAACGGGTCCTTCGTTGTAAATGAATTGACCTGGACTTGCAATCAGCACCATGTCAGATAAAAATAAAAGACTAGAGGTTCTGGCGGCCCTCTAATCATATTTGTCAAGAAGAACAACGTCTTTATCCTTCGCGTCAATCAGGATCTGATCATCGTAGTCCGGACTTTCGTCTAAGTACTCCATCATATCCTCATATACTCCCACATCTACATCGTCAAGCTCGTTGAACTGCTGTCTTTCCACTTCTGTTTCTGGAAAACGGGGCGTACGAAATTTCTGGGGCCATGTGAACCATTAGAAGCGATAGTATGAGACATGAGAGAGTGATCGAAGGTAGCCAGATTTAGCTCGTTTGATTCGATGACACTCGGAAATGCTCGAAGCAAAGAACAAAGGGCAATGAGGACGTACAGCGCACAGGGTATGATTTCGAGGAGCGCTTCTAGCATGCTTCAGCAAGTCCGTGAATGAGTGCTGTATCCACGGTTTTGGTAAACCAACTCTCGGTATCGAGTGAAGCGTTCCATGACGTTCGATGGGAGAAGGGGCAGGGAAGGACGAAAGTGCCAGAAAATCAGAGTGAGGAATGCTTCAGAGGTTTCTGACATGGCAAAAAAAGTGTGTGACTAGGTCAGGCCTCAAAACTAGGTACCTTGACAACTCACTATTCCGGGTATTTGCGCTACCACCACCCCTTTTTCTTCGGTTCGCGGCTTGTTGTCGGAGCCTGCTTTTCCTTCCCCTCGGCATCCACTGCCACAACAAGTGGTGCCACTTGCTGTCCCTTCTCGCTCTCTCTGACCGCAGATTTGGACTTTGGTTTCCTCAGCTCCACCCACCACGTCGTGCCTGCGTGCCACCACTTGGGTTGCTCAATCTTGACAATCTCCAAGCCACTCTCCTCCACAATCTGCCTAATATCTCTGTTCCACCAACACCCAAAAGCTTCCGCGTGTCCCTCAGCGGACTTATCCAGCGCCTTGTTCAACAATGCCCAACTCCCTCTCCCATGCTCCAACAGCAAAATTCGTCCCTCCTCCTCCTTCACACACTCTCCCAGATTCTTCAGCAGTTTGACAGGATCGCTGACTGAACACAGCCCCATAGTCTGCAGCACGGTATCATATTTCGAGTCCAGATTTCCACTCCTCTCGTTCGCGCTCTTGGGAGGCCCAGGAATAGCACCGGGCTCAGTCGCGTCGGCGATGACCCACCTTACGCCCAGAATCCCTGGGAACATCTTGCCGAACTTCTCGTGTGCAATCTCCAACATCTCTCCACTTTTGTCCACGGCTGTGAAGCTCCTAACCTTCCCTTTCTTGATATGGCCTGTGGCATCGACTTTGCCCACACCTTGATGACCTTTAAAGTCCCATTGATAGAACTCTAAGTTCCGCCCTGTGCCGATCGAGACTTCGAGGACGTCACCTACTGCTTCCGATGCCAATTTCCGCCGCAGCGAAGTGATACCCATGCTATTTTCCATCGGATCGACGGTATCGTCGAATGTGGTAGCGATCTTGTCGTATTGGGTAGACACATCTTGCTGTGAGGCTGGAGAGATGCGCGTAGGCTTGCCATCGTCTCTGGTAATGGTGATGTAGAAATATGTCATATAACCCGATAAGCCCAATACAATTAAGCCTCCGAAGTACATGGGAATTACACGGTTCCGAAAAGGGTTGGCTTTAGGTTTGGGAGTAGAAAGGGGTTTGGGAACCTGCTTTTGGGTTGATGGCCTGGCAGTAGGTTAGCTAGGGAAATCATTGAATAGCATCAGAATTGCTCGCACTTATACTTAGGATGAGACTCCTTCGATGTGCTTTTAGTTACGGCCTTTGATGGCTTTGGTATCGCGGGCTTTGCATGTTTCGCTGGCTTTGCGTGTTTTGCTGCTTGTAATGGTATGGTTGTGCTGAGATCCCTTCGACATCTTGACATCGAGCCATTGGCCTTAGAGCTCGCAAGGAGCAGCCTTTTGCATGCTCTCTCCATCACTTCTCCCCCTCAGGTGAGCTGTATAGCCGATCTAGGCTCAGTGTAATATGTTCACCTTGTAAAATCAAGGCCAAATTATTTTGAAGTCCTTGGGCGGGGCAGAGCAAACGTGGAACAGAACAGACAATGGCACCGCCCCCGAAAAGTTCTGCAATGCTTGCCGATGCGCTCCAAGCCTTTGACTAATAATTGTCGACCCGAGCATTGGTGTTGAGACAATACGTTAAAGGTTGTCGTCAATGATTTTTAGCGCCAGTCTGCTCGCGAGGCTATCACAAGGCTGAACTTATGCCTGAGTATTTGGCTGAGTTTATGGCTGAGTTGAAGGTCACAAAACATTCGATTCTATTCACCCTTGTTCAATGATACGTTGATCTCATTACGCTACTCTAATTCTTTAGCCAAAATTCTGCTTCGCTAAAGCCTTGAGCATAGCCATGGTCCCCTCTTCCTTCGTCCTATACTCCTGCAATCTCTCTTCTCTCTCCGCCATCCTCGCCCTCAACATCTCCTCCTTCCTCAGCTCCCTCTCATTCTTCTTTCTCTCAAATTTCTCTTTTTCCTGTTTGTAACTCTCAATGCCATCCCCGCCACCCATCAGCTCCCTGTCTGGGACCTCCGCTGCGCCCGGAGACTTCTCTCTGAAAGACTTCATCTTTTCATTGACTTCTTTCTTCTTCTCCAGTTGCCGCTCTCGTGTTCCTGCTTCGGCGCGGGGAAGGAGTTCATCTAAGGCAGCCTTTTGTTCTTTTCGATCAACTTTGCGAGCATATCGAATATCGTCTCGCCGATTCAGGCCATCTTCGGCATCCATCTCTGCAAGTACTGTTAGATATAGGCTATTATCGTCCCATTGGGAGTCCATACCTCTCTTGAGTTCCAAGTCATGCATGTTGGGAATACTCGGTCCCTTCTTTCGTCCTCCAGAACTGCTCTCTTGACCTGGCAAGCTGGGTCCAATGGAATCATCACTATCGCTGTCCTCCGGACCGATTTTTTTCGGAGACGGACTGGCTATTCTCCCCTCTGCAGCCGTTGCTTTAGGATTCAGGCGTTCCTCTTCTCGCCGTTCCAGTTCGGCTCCTTCAGCGGATTGCACTGCTTTCTGCAGCGTAGTAGGATCATACCAGCCTTCTGATAATTCTCCGCGATTCCTCTCACAAGTTAGTCACGCCCGCTCTATCCAAGAGTAATCTGACAGCGATGGAGTCCTTACCATTTGCCAACGAAGCTCTTCCATCTACCCCTCACCTCCGTCTCGTCCATGTCCTCCAAGTATCTCTGCTTCTGGATATCCAGATACAGCGCGAACATCGGTTTGAATGCATCGTAATCGCGTTTCACTAATTGTCGCGAATTGAAGGGCAGGTCTTTGGCGGTGATATTCGGGGAGTGCTTGCGCTTTTGACGATGTCTGGAATGAGGAGAGCGCGTTCGATGCGAATGAGAGTGGTTTCGGCGTGGAGAGCGCGATCGATCGTCTCGAGAGTGGTCGCCCTGGCGATGATTTTTGCTGCTGTCGGCCATTGCGTCCTGATAAATCGATGCGGTCTATACGCTGGAGATTCTTGGGCCGCCGAGGCTGACATTTCGAGATGTCGCCCGATACCCGACTAGCGCCAAATCGCTACCGAGAAAACATTTATTTACCTTGTCTTTTGTTAATGGTCAGTGGAGAGCCCGACGTTTACAAGGCAGCGCACTGACTTTTATCTAGCATGGACAATGTTTTCCTTTCGATTGGACTGGTAAGCTGAGAAGCTTTTATATCGAGAAGTGAAATTCGGGAGTCGCATTTTACCGTACCAACATTCAGGAAACTGACGGCTAGATCAAGCTTTTGACATCTTCATGGGCACTCTTCCATGCCAGTCCGAACAGGATGAGTAAGGGTGCAATGTCCAAGACTAACCCTAGCGCCCATGACTACTACCGGTACTGTACAGACTCACCGGTTATAGACACCATATAGGTACCTCGTTGTCCTTCGCCCATTTGATGAGTTGTACAAGCGCATAAAGTTTCCTGGCTCCATCGACCAGATAGCGAGCGCCATTGAACAGACTGACATCCGAGTGCCAAGTCACAAGAGAAATGTCGGCTCCACCCCCACTGTACGGAAATCCGTAATTTTCAGTATCCGTATGCACGGTGAGGATGTTTTTGCCTTCATGTATCTGCAATTGAGTCGGTCAAAATTAGCCAGCGAGGCTGTTGGTTTTTTTCTCTTCTCCTTTGCCTATTCATATCTGAAAATTCCCTCCCATCCCGAGTCCCAGCCTATTTTCTTCATTAGCAAGCTGCAGAGGTCGCAATGGCTACACCTACTCCCAAATCTATCCTGATCCTGGGCCACGGGGTATTTGGACTTTCCACAGCACATGCCCTCTCCTTGCGTCCGTCTTTCGCCAATACAACGATCACTCTCATTGATCGTTCACCATTTCCTTCCCCAGATGGCTCCTCGATCGATTCCTCACGCATAATTCGCGCCGACTACCACGATGCAGCATATGCTAAGTTAGCTGCTGTCGCGCAAGATATATGGCGTCAGCAAGGCCCAGACGACCTGGGCGGTCAAGGAAGATATACTGAAAATGGTCTGGTGCTGGTGGCTAACAAGGGCCAACAAGGAGAGGAGTATGTGCGACACAGTTTGGAAAATGTGGCCGATATGGCCAAGAAATCTGGGGATGAGAAATCAGTGCGGGAGCTGAAGTCAAGCACTGAAATCGAAGAGGCGCATGGAAGCGGCGGTGGAAGTGGTGACTGGGGGTATATAAATACCAGAAGTGGATGGGCAGATGCCGAGGCCGGCATGCTGTGGTTAAGGAAGAAGGTTGAAGCCTTAGGGAGGGTAAATTTCAGGCAAGGGGAGGTGGCTTCTCTGGTGAAGGATGGAAAGAGAGTCACAGGTGCCAAATTGACCTCCGGAGAGGTCGTGAGTGCAGAACTGGTCGTTGTAGCGACTGGAGCTTGGACAGGAAAGCTCGTCGATTTAAGAGGAAGAGCTCAAGCTACAGGCCAAGTCCTTTGCTATGTCGAAATTACAGCAGAAGAGCAAGAACGTCTGGGGAACCGCCCCGTCCTGCTCAACATGAGCACAGGCATGTTCGTCATTCCACCGGCGAACCGCATCCTCAAGGTCGCGCGACATAGCTATGGACTTGCGAACCCAACCCAGATTCAAAATCCCGAAAACCCATCGGAGACGATCACGGTCTCGCTTCCCAAGACTACGCACGACGATCCCAAGCTATGGGTCCCTATAGAAGGCGAGATAGCCTGCCGTCAAGCTCTCCGCGAGATGGTCCCGAGTCTCGCTGAACGGCCCTTCATCCAGAGCAAAATTTGCTGGTATACAGACACTCCCAAAGGAGACTTTATCATCACCTATCACCCGGATTACGAGGGCTTGTTCTTGGCTACTGGAGGGAGCGGTCACGGCTACAAATTCTTGCCAGTCATCGGAGACAGAATTGTAGATTGTGTAGAGGGCAAGTGCCCAAGCGAGTTCAAGGAGAAGTGGGCATGGCCGAAGGACTCAGTTGATGTCGTAGTGACGCTGGATGGCAGTCGAGGTGGGAAACCAGGGCTGATACTAGAACAGGAGCTGAGGAAGGGAAGTAAGCTCTAGTGGGCTATCTTCGTCCGATGCCGAAATGGATGTACATACTTACGAGTGATGAACAAGACCCTTAGGGTGTGTATGGCTCGC